AGGATTTGAAGATCCCCGGGCCTGGGGGGTCCTTGAGGATCTCTGGTCAGGTTGAGGGTCCCTGAGCCAAGGGGGATTTTGGAGACCCGGTCCTGGTGGAAGTTTTAAGGTTCCCAGACCAGGGTGAGTTTCAGGGCCCTGGGGTTTGAGGGGTTTGACGGTCCCCAGGACTGGGGGAAATCTGAGGGTCCCTGAGCCGGAGAGAACTTGAGGAGTCCCCAGGACAAGGCGTTTGAAGGATTCTTGAGTCAGGGGTGGTGGTTTGGGAGTCCCCGAGCATGGGGGATTTTGAAGGTCTTATGCCAGTGGAGGGGTTGAGGGTCCTTGGGTCTGGCAGGAATTTCTGGTTGCCAGGGCAGGGGGGAATTGGGTTCCCAGGTTTGGGGATGTTTTGGGGGCTCTGGTCAGGGGTCTCTGCCCTGGTTTAACACCTCCATGGATCCAGGTGGACTGACTACATCCCGCTGGGCTGGAGAATGCCGGGCACGCGGTTCATTGCCTTCAAGGTGCCCCTGAAGAAGGTGAGTGACCAGCAGGAGCCAGTTTGGGCTGGATAACAGCTGTGGGAAAGCGTCACTCAGTGGGTATTCCATGAGTGAATTCTTGAGGGACACAGTGTCAGAGCCCCAGAGATTTTGGGAGTGGAAGAGTGAGGGGTCAGTGTAGCAGCAACTGGGCCTCAGGGTCCTGTCGGTGTGTGCTGTGCTGGGCTTTGCTCTGGAGTGGTTGGAGCATCACAGATACATCTAAAATACACCCAGGGTCACATCTGTGGGAGTCACAGAGCTTGGGAAGTGGGAGAGGGGAGAGACTTAGGCTGAGGGAGCTGGGGGAGATTAGCCTGGAGAAAAGGAGGCTCGGGAAGGACCTTCTGGCTTTTCCACAATCCCCTGACAGGAGAGTCTGCTGCCAGGGAACAGGCATAGGATGAGAGAAAACAATCTCAGGCTGTGCCAGGGGAAGTTGAGGTTGGATATCAGGAGGAATTTGTCTCTGGAAAGAGCAGTTAAATGTTGGAAGGGGCTGCCCAGGGTGGTGGTGGAGCCCSCATCCCTGGAGGTGTGCAAGGAACAACTGGACATGGCACTCGGTGCTCTGGGGTTGTGACAAGATGGGGATTGGTCACATCTTGGACCCAGTGGTGTTGAGGCGCTTTTCCAACCCCAGTGATTTTGTGGTTCCATGTGTTTGAGCTGATGCCCTGATTTACAGCTTCCACCTAGAAACCTCCAGTGTCTGGGTGTGTTTGTCACTGTGGGATTTTGCTACAGTTAAAGTTGTCTCTCACCCCTGGGAACCTTCAGCTGAGCAGCCCCAGAACTCTGAGGGCCTCAGCRTGTCCCTCTTCATGGCAAGGAGTRGAACTGGATGAGCTTTAAKGTCCCTTGCAGCCCAAACCATTCCCTGATTCAGTGATCCAGCTCATATGTCCATCTGTGTCTTGCCCAAGTTCTTCTCCCTGTTTGCCAGGACATTCCAGACCAGGAGCCTCTTCCTACCCATCATAACACACATGAGTTTAATAACAGCTTTATATTTCCCGCAGAGTTTTGATCGGAACCTTCTCCCAGAGGAGAGATTTTCCCCTCATGACCTCATTAGGAAAGTCAAGGAGCAGAAGGAGGAACTGGGGCTGATCATCGACCTGACATACACCACCCGCTACTACGGGCCTGAGGTCAGTGCTGAGAAACTGGGAAAGTCTTCTCCAAGAGGGTAACTTGGGAGAGTGTGAAGGCCTTGAATCCTTCAGCAGGGGATGAGGTGAAGCTTTGCAGGCCAGTGGGATCTTCCTGATCTTATCTCCAAGCCCCAAATCCTCTTTGTACCAACGAGCCAAAGTTTGGGGATGCCCTAAGATTCTTTTTTTTTTGTGGGATCTCCTGAGCGAAGAACTAATTGCAAACAGCTTTGGCTAGGTGGATGATCACTGGGAAAGGTATTCCAGGTCCTCTGTGTGCTTCATCTTCCCTGGGGGGAAAAAGAGCAAAACCAGGAGAAGTAATATGGAATATTGGTACTGTGTCAAGGAAGCGAAGCAGAAGTTTTCTTACCCAAAACCGTGTAGCTGTTCTTTTGGGCTTAGTGGAAAAACCTTATCTTCTTCAGGCTTATTGCCTATGATTCCTTAATTAATAAGAATCCTTATGCATTTCCTGGAAATTAATGAGTTTGTTTCTTGTAGGAGCTGCCACCCACACTCTGCTACTCAAAGATCCTGACCATGGGACACGAAATTCCAAACAAAGAGACCATTTTTAGATTCAAGTATGTTGTAAAAAAGTTTTTGAGAGACAACAAAGACAATGGTRAGTATGGATTTCCCTGACTCAGCTGTTAATGGGATGGGCTGGTGATGTTTTTATGAGCAGTAGCAATTTCTTATTCCTCTCTTGGCATGGGAATGTTAAGGCAATAGATTGGGATTTTCCTGGTGAGGGAATTTGTGTTGGCTCTGATAATCCAGGCCAGGTTGGATGGGCTTGGAGCAACGTGGGATAGTGGAAGGTGTCCCTGCCCATGGYAGRGCGTGGCACTGGATGGSYTTTAAGATCCTTTCCAACCCAGACCATTCCAGGATTCTGTGATGAGTTGATCTTTCATTGAGTTTGAGACATATGGTTGTGTAGATGAGCTGCCAGAATTAATGAGTTAATGAGTTGAGCCAGTGGTGTTTCTTAGGCACAAATGTGGTGATGTTGTGTGGAGTTATTTCTGTTAATTTTCTTGGTGTCACTAATGGAGGGTTGATGCAGATGGGCTCATTCTGGGGGTATTTGGCMGAAAAAGCACCTAAATCTCACCTGTGTGTGTTACAGATAAACTCATCGGGGTGCATTGCACACATGGCTTGAACAGAACTGGCTACTTAGTTTGTAGGTGAGTGGTTCTGAGTCAACTGGGGTTAAGTGATGGCATTTCTTCCTAACCCCTTTAGGAGGAAACAGTGCTATGCCAGCAAAACAAGAGTGATTTGTATAATCCCAGACTTGCAGGGATTTACAGCTGTTATTAGAGGGTATTTTTCATCCCAAAATTCAGCGACCAAATGCTGATACACCATTCTGGCATGTAAATAAAAGGTTTAAAAACTCTTCAGTGGTTTTTTTGTGTTTGAATCATCATCAACCTGTCAATGTTTTCATGGTTAATTGTGTAATTAGAGTTTTTTGTTGCTCTGTGCAGGTACCTGATTGATGTTGAAGGCATGGAGCCAAATACTGCCATAGAATGTAWGTATCCTGCTTGGATGGGGAATGTTTAATGGGGTTTTAGATGATCAGAAGCTTTGTGATAGCTCCAGGGAGGGAACTGTGTTTGGTTGAAGGGGTTAAAACCCTTATAAAGTGTTTTAATTGCTCAGCAGCCCCGAGGGTGACTTGTGTTGCTGTAACTCAGAACTCTCTCTCCCCAGTGTTTAACAAGTCTCGAGGGCATCCCATAGAGAGAACCAACTACATCCAGGATCTTCAGAAGAGAGCCTGGAAAAGGTGAGTCTGTGTTTCAGGAGTGAGGGATGTACCCAGGGAGAGATACTGAAGAGGAACAGGCCATAAATCTTGAGTGGTTCCAGGAGGGGTGGTGGCATGAGTGTGTGGGGAAGTGGGCAYTGGGAGAATGAACAGGGAGAGCCAKRGCAAGGGGGAATAGTTTAAAGCTCAGAGGGCAGGGTTAGGTGGGGTATTCCTCCCTGTAAGGGTGGTGATGGGTTTGATGGAATTCCCAAAGAAGCTGTGGCTGCCCCATCCCTGGTAGTGCCCAAGRCCAGGTTGGATGAGCTTGGAGCAGCTTGGGACAGTGGAAGGTGTCCCTGACTGTGGAGGGGATGGAATGAGATCTGCTTTAAGGTCCCTTCCAACCCAAACCATTTTGGGATTATAAATGGGTGTAAAGATCCCCAGGCCTGTGACCTCTTTTGGGGTAAGCAGTGATGGGAAGGGCTGGGATTGAGTGTGAAAGAGCTGATGTGATCACTCAGTGAGTGCTTTGTGGACAGTCAAAACATTCAGAATTCTCTTTAAAAGGAGCTGTGAACTGAAGAMTTTTGGCTCTGATCTCTTCAGGAAAAAAGGCAGTGCCACAGCAAAGCCCCAAAAGCAGCTGGTCAAACACCCCCAGCATTGCTCGACCCAGTCATCCCTGGTGGTGCCCAGGTAGGTGTTTGCCCCTTTCCCTGTGTGTCCTGAGCTGAGCAGGCTCAAAGAGCTGCTTCCTCCCCTTGGAGCAACTGCAGCTGGATTTTTACAAGCTGCAACTCATTCGGTGCTTTGCCAGCTCTGGSAGGGTGACAGAAACCCCCTGAAAGTTGTTTGGAGCCAAAATAACAACAGTCAAGTTCTTGTCCTTACAGCAGCAAAACTCTGCCTAGGAATGATGTTCCTGTACCTGTAGGTGTGCAATGAYATCACTGGCAGGGTGGGAGTTGGTTCCCAGTGGGGCTGGAATKTTTTCCAGCTGGGATAGATATTTCATGCACCAAAGGATTTTGAACCAAGTGCCAAGTGAGGCAGCTCTTCCTAAGAAAGAGGTGGTGACACTCCCTCTGTTACTGGGCTCCTCCTGGAACAGGGAACTCGGAAAGAGCTTCCCTTTGACCTGGGGAGCACATTCCAGCTCAGAGATGACCTCCTGGCCTTGGAGGAGCTCCCAAACCACCTCTAGAGCACATGTGGGAGCCAGTTCCAGCTTCTGGCACAGCAGGGGCTTCTTCACCCCCCTCACCCCCCTCCCTTGGGGGCATGGAAAACATTTCCTGGTGAAAACYTCCCTTGCTGTCAGAAATCAGGAGTGAAGTTGCTATCTGGGTGTCCCTCCTGTATGTCCCATCCTTCAGGCTACAGGAAAAGGGCATCATGTGCATCCACAGGTGCTGAGGGTGTTCACAGCCAGCCCTTTTTGGGTGCTGACTCCCCAATTTCCTTCCAGGAACCTTGATGGTGTCAAGAAGAAGCAGCAGCCTGGCTCCAAGKCTCAGGCACAGCCCCAGCAGCTGGGACAGAGGTATGGGGCCCTGGAGCAGAAGCTGCAGAAGAAGCAGAGGCAGCTGCAGCAGAGGCAACTGGAGCAGAGGCAGCAGAGGGAGCTGGAGCAGTGGCAGTTGGAGCAGAGGCAGTTGGAGCAGAAGAAGCTGAAGAAGCTGCAGCAGAGGGAGCTGGAGCAGAGGGAGCTGGAGCAGAGG